AAGAAAAAGCCGCCATTTTTTAATGTGCGCGCGCTAATCACGCGTGAAATTATGCGCAGTAGGGATGCGCAATGCAATACTGGGGAATAACCTTAAGGTGCACCTAACCCCAAACATTTTTTTCCGCTAAAACGAATCTACTTGTTATTGGGAGCATTTGGGCGAAAAAATGTTTGAATTTGGTTGAATCCTCGATTTTCTATGCCCTGTCAAAGTCGCGCTTGAAGTGTTACACGACGGCGTTTTAGGAAGCCTGGGGCGGCGGTTGCTGATGACGTCTACCCAGGAACCAAACGCAATGGCGCCTCAGTCAGCTCTCTGTATTTGCTGGAGAAAATGGAAAACAAAACTAATCGTTCAAATATATTTTGGGGCTAGCGCGTCAAAGTGTTGTTTCAGAATCGAGGACGAGCTGCTTGTATATTAGGAATGGAAAGCTAAATACGAAGTGGAGGAGCACGCAAACGAAAAGCAGGAAAGAAAACTCAAGGACTGCTTTGGATGGTAATTTCATCACCTAAACACAAGACTCCCACTCGTGTTTATAGCCCGTTTACATTTGTCCTCAGCGAGAATGTATTTTGTCAAGGTATGGTTGTTCTATGAAATCCAGTTTGTGTTGTACTTTCGGGAATGCTTCATGTTTATAAGAGCGACGTAAATGTTGCAGTTTTCGAGACTTAATTGATGACCTCCAAAACACCGGCTTCTATCAATTGAAAATCGTAGAATTGTTTGGACCTGTATTTTTGAAGCTGCGGGAAGCAATGTGGAAGGAAACTTTTCATGCAATTACCGATTTCACATTGTCACACGTTTTAAGTCGTAAATCCAAATAACCAATGTAAATTTTTTTCAAAGTTTGCAGTGAAATTCGTCGGATAAGCGAAAAGGATGTGTTCCCTAAGCGCCAGGTCCGCAGATAATGCTACGCGGTCATATTTTCGACACTATTGCAGAAAATGTTTGTCGCATTGCTGATTTCCAAACTTTCGGAAAAGTCTGTGAGTCTAACAGTTTTGTTATCATGTAATTCTAAGGGATTAATCTTCGACTTTTATCTAAATCGGAAGAGAAATAAGTATTGGCTGGCGGCGTACAGTTGCGAGCTATTTACATATCAGTATATTTGGTCTTAACGCTCCTTGATTGATCACACAACCTCGCTGGCTGTTATAAATACTGCGGGATTGGAAAATATAGGTTTTCGGTAGTATTTCTACAAATTGCTGGTTGGCTTTAAGCAGAAAATTTTGAAAATAGCGTTTGAAAGTCTGCGGAACAAATTCCAGTGAGAGTTCTTCAATGGTTCTCACAGTCAGTTCGCTTGTTTCGGTTCGACGAAATCAACCATCGTTTACGTCTTTATTGTGCCATTGACCGATCATCGCCAGTAAAATGTAGATTATATCTTTCTTTAAATCTGGATATTGCTGCAACAGTCGATAGCACTTCTGGAAGGTGTTTCTGCGCACTTTTCGAATGTGTATTGCACCATCCTAAATGAAATGAGAGGACGTGAGATATTCAACCTTCCTGGGTAGACATCACAACAGCTGCTCGACCCATTCTCCTCAAACTCTGTCGTGAAACAAAATGGCGGTATTTTGGAGCTATTTTCGAGATTTTGTCAGGGTGCAGAAAATCGAGGATTTAACCGAATCCAAAAAATTTTTCGCAGAAGTATTTCAAATAACAATTAGATTCGTTTTAGCGAAAAAATTTTTGGGGTTAGGTGCACTTTAACAAATCGAATGTGGTTTAGCGTTTTCTGTATTCTTATCGACAACGACATACGTCATCACAGTGGTCAAAATGTTGTGGACTCAAGAGGTTCAGCCGAGTGAGCCCACAAAAAGGGTATTTTTACCTCGCCATATCATTCCCTAACGTTTCTATAGTACTGTAGTTATATCAAACACACGGCCTTCGGGACAATACTGACTTATTTTTCACATCTACAGGAACAGAAAATCCTTCCACTGAGTTGCAGAAGTCGTATATTGCCGTGGTAGCGATAGATTTTGGTACGTCGTACAGTGGTTTTGCATTTTCATTCAATAAGGGTGAAGAAAAGGACGCCATATTTATGAACAAGGACTGGACGAATGAACAAGGTAGCAGAACGAGCAAGGCGCCGACATGCTTGCTTCTTGCTCCAGACCTCACATTTCACTCGTTCGGTTACGAGGCAATGGAAAATTATGCACAACTTCAAAGCGAGGAAGAGGAACAACAATACTTTTTCTTTCAGCATTTTAAAATGGCGCTCCATAGCGACAAGGTAGGTGTTAGTTTACTAAACACTGAACCGATCTTATTAATAAACAATCTCAGACTTCACTTTTGGATAAAGGTCTTTTATTTTGAGAACAGAGGCAAAAGTAAGTTCGAAATTAGTTATTAAATTCCGCTGTATGTGCGTCATATCTCGCGCATTTTTTTTCTTTTTTGAAAAAGTATAAGTAGAAAACACTGAGTAGTCATTTGAGTGCAACCCTTCCACTTTCGGTTTTAGACCTCTTCTTCGACATGTGTGGAAATATGGTAAAACATGCGATGTCTCGCCTGTGTAACATATCTTCTCAATCAAAAAAAAAAAAATAATAAAAAATAAGGAGAAAACGGACATAATATTGAACGTGCGCATTAGAGAACATCGATTTCACAAATTTTAAGTATCACTCAGATACTCTATTGCCATGTAGATGCAATTTTAATCACTTTTTTTTCACAGTTTTTAATTCTCATTTTTTAAACAACATCATTGCCTATGAAGCCTACGAAAGCTTTTTTAAACATTGTTGCCTATGTAACCTACAAAGGCTACAATTTTTCCGACTCATTTAAGAGTTTCACTGAGTTCAGCAGACATCTTCTGGGACGGAGAAGCGTTTCACCAGTTAGCTTGTATCATCAAGTGATAAATAACATAGTTCTACAAGCTTTATTTCTATTCCACTGATGCATTTTTTGTCTCAGGAAATAAGTCACTGTGCTTTTTCTACATTGTTATTAGACCTTGAGCTTGGATACAACCATCGAAGCAGCCAATGGAAAACACGTTAAGGCCAGGACTGTTTTTGCACATGCCATTAAATTCATGAAAGACGAGGCTATCAAACTCATTCGTGATGAAACTGGGGATAAACAGTTTAAAGCGGATGATATCCAGTGGGTTCTAACTGTACCTGCCATATGGACCCCGAGAGCTAAACAGTTCATGAGAGAAGCAGCTTATGAGGTAAGGTTTGCGCTTCCTCGAGCGTACAACTTCATCAACACGAGGAAAAGAAAAATGAAACAACAACAAAAACAACAACAACAAGAACAAATTAACTATTATGCAGATCTGGCTAACAATACTTTGGTTATTATCATCAAATCTACTATGGGCATTGTAATTCGTTTAATCTCCTGTATAAAGACAGATTGGTTATGAGCCACTCAACTTGGAAAGAGAATCGTCTGTCAACAGGGGCAACTTTGATCCCAATGAACTGAGTTTTTAATCTGTCGGTCATATACCATTTATATACCAAGCTATATAGTAGCATACAAAAGAACGAGCATTGTTTGTCAAGCCCTTAGCTCCGTTTTCCTGTCTGTGACTGTTTTTGCTCTGCGAGAGTCTTTATTTTATGACGAGCACAACATCACAACAAACGGTATTATTATTATTAGAGCGGTTTTCAATTGAGTGTGGAAAGTAATTAGACAATTACTTTGGTTTTGGTTTTGGTTTTACTTCGGTTTGAGATTGGCTGAGTAGTCTAATTGGTAAGTAATTGGTTTTGGTTTTACGACACTCAATTGAAAACCGCTCTATTATTATTATTATTATTATTATTATTATTATTATTATTATTATTATTATTATTATTTTATTATTTTCCTTCTGCAGGCTGGCATTGGTTCTATGACCAATCCTGGACAGTTAATCATTGCTCTAGAACCTGAAACTGCCGCTTTGTTCTGCATGGAACGAAAGATCAGCAAACTTGAAACAGAACGTGTCAGTGATCTTGAAGACGCAAAGCTTGCACAGCCACAAACTCAGTACATGGTCGTTGACATTGGAGGTGACAAGTCACTGCTTCATTTTGTTATCATCAGACTCAATATATTTATTTTACAGTTAAAACATCTTTAGGATTATCGATCACTGTAGCCTCAAGGTGAAAATGGGATCTTTCTTTTTCCAAAATGAGAAGTTGAGAGGCAAAGTCAGTAACCGAAACTTAGAATGAAGGGTAAATTCAGAATTTGTAGTTTCAACAAATGAACGCCTATCGCTGTTAATTAAGGTACTGTACACAGTACTTGCAATAAAGGACGATGAATACTCGAGCTCTTTTAGCCGCACCAGTCTGTCCATTCTTTTCCTTTTTTTGCTCAGCCATTCAGTTTGCCCACAATGGTAAACAAGTACCAAATATTAAAATTTGTGTAACCGTGTCAATATTTCACCCTAGGGGGGACGCTAGATGTGGCCATACACGAAATTACTGATGATGGCAGTATCAAAGAGATTGACAAGATTACCGGGGGCCCTTATGGAGGAATCAAGGTAAACCGTAAGTTTGAAAACCTTTTGGACGAGCTGTTTGGAGCAGAAAATCTGAAAAAGTATAGAGAGCAGTATCCCTCTGACTGGCTTACTGTAATGAATGACTTTGAAGGAAAAAAGCAGGGCTTGCGAATTGTAGAGGGAAAAACGACAAATATCCGTTTGCCAGCCACTTTTGCTTCCTTGGTCAAACGACGTCCAAGT